AGGAGGCACTTCATGGGGAAGCGTGACGTGGGTGTGTGAGGATGGGCTGCCTCGGTGGCGCAACCCTGATGTGGGGGGCCACCTCAAGGTGTCCTGGGTGTCCGGATGAGGAGTGCCGACTGCCACGATAAGGGTTGCCTGAATGCCCCAGCTCCAGCCCGGGCAGCGGAGGCCCCGGGCGGCGCTTGGCACAAGAAGGAGCTGTTTGCACAGCCATGTGGGAGGTGCTGGGCCCTGTGCACGGGGTCGGGCTCCTGTGGCCAGGGTCACCGAGCGGGTATGGAGCCGGTCCCAACATGGGGTGGGCAAAGGGGCTCAGGGCACCAGGCTGCAGGCCCGCAGCCATGTCTTAGGTGATCCCGGACTGGCTTTGGAACAAAGAGGCCAGTGATGGGCTGCCATGAGGCCATGGGGACTCAGTGGCTGGTGCTGGCTGTGGGAAAGCGCCAGGCTCAGTCCCGGCATGCCATGCGCTCCCGAAGGGGACCCTTGCCCACACCGGTGGGCGGTGGACTTTGTGAGCTGCCGGCTTGTGTGCCCGGAACAAACATGCCGCTGGCCCTATCAGGTCGGCAGCAGCGTTTGCTTTGCATGGGCCCGATAAGCAAGGGGTGGGCAGCCAGGAACGCTGTTGGGTGAGGGCAGTGACCTCCCACACAGAGAGGCCCCTTTTGCCTGGGCTGTGCATGAAGGCTGGGCGCAAAACCTTCTCCAGGGCAAACTGCTGCGCGGTTCGAAGCAGCCCTGAGTGCTAGCTGAAGGGTGCGTCGTCCTGGTGCCTGTCTCACATGGCAGCAGGGACCTGGCCGGGCCTGCAGCTCCCATCTCCACTGCCTCCATGCCAGGATGGTCCCCTGGGAGCAGGAGGGCCACCCTCACCCCCTTACCTGCTTCCCCCAGTGCCTGCCCCATGGCCATGGTTTCTTCATCCCTTGAGAATGGCTTGGTGACAGGGGACACTGATGCTGCTGCCTACAGACAAGCGGGCCCGGATGGCTGGTGTGCCAGGCACCGCACCAAAGCACTGAGGCTGGTAATATGGGTGTTAGCACAGGGCCAAAGACTGTCCTGTGACTGAAGCCATACCTGGATCTTGCAGTGGGAGCCAGTGAGGGCTGATTTGGGACTCCAGTTCTGCCCCATTCTGGGTGCAGCACCGTCCTACTGAGCAGTGCAGCGTGGCTGGTGGTTTGGAGAGCGTCTGAGCAAAAACCCTGAGTTATCCCCCTCCTCTCCTCCTGCCCAGGATGCCTTGTGCCATGCTGAGCAGGGACACAGTGCTGTACATGACTGGCATGTGTGCCGCAGAGGTGTTGCACATATGGGGCAGCGGCTCAGGGGGCAGCAGATGGCACCAGTGGGCTCCCACCTCTGGCTCTCATGGCATCTACCCTGCTACCACAGGGAGGGAGCATCATCTCTTTACTGGGATCTGGCAGGAGCAATCCTGCGAGAGGGGGAATCCAGTGGAGGCTCCCAGAAAAACAGTCCATGTCAATGTCCCCAGACAGCATGAAGCTCCTGGTCTTATTGCTAGGGAAGGCAAATATGCTCTGCCTGCTCCAGTCCACAGCTGGGGGCTGCTGAGGGCAGGGCACCTGGGCTAGGAAGCCTCCCTTTGACGTGCCTGTATCTATCAGGATAACCCTGTGGATTGATTTGCTGAACTTGAGGTCCTGCAGCAAGACCTGAGGTTGCCTCTCCCCAGCATACCCGCATTTCTGAAGCCAAGCCCCGTTGATGACCTCCTGGCACTGTTTCGTACTTGCATCTCTGGCCGCTGGCGCCCAGGAGACTCAGCACGTCCAGGTTGCTCACCTGGGGCTCTGTGTCTGCCCTGTTGCGGTGGCTGGGTGAATGCCTTGAGTCCCAGGAGGGATGGGTGCATCTCCAAGAAGTCCTCCAGCACGCTGCGGTCTGCCAGCATTGGCCGCAGAGGAGGCTGTCCCCGCGGGGGCACACGGGAGCCCTGCGCATGGGGACAAGGAGCTGTCCCTTAGCCCCAGGGCCAGCACGGGAGGCTGGGAGCTGGCTCCTCGAGTCTCAGGACATCCCTGGGCTTTGCTGCCCCTTGTTTAGGCACCGACGATTTCTGCTCCCCGGATCAATGGAGCCCCTTGATCTATCACTTGCAGCTCTGCATGCCGTGGTCCCCTCAGGCTCCACACGCGGCCTAGCTAACCTGCCACATCCAAGGGAAGCCTCAGCCCTCCATCCTCCCAGCTTTGACCAAGGCCAGGCCAGGGGCCTGCCGTTCAGCTGGGCAAGTACAATTTGTACTTCCCCACACCATCATGCGGGGTGCCCTGCATGGCCGCCCTGTGTCCCTGTGTTAGGGACAGCCCAAGAATATGTTGGTGGCGTGAGCATCGGCGCAGGCGGAACCAGCCCTCCCCAGGGAGACACGGAAATATTGGTGCTTTTATTAGTGCTTTATTCTGTCCGGTGACTTGGCCAGGACCTGCCCAGCTGTCCCCTTGAGACAGGCTGCAGATGTGCGCGGTGTTGCTGTGCTCAGGACAGAGGGGACAGGCCTACCATGTTGTTGGCCCTGTCGAAGATCACGTAGTACTCATGGATGAAGACGTCACCGAGGATCCAGAGGTCACCGGACTCGGTGGAGACGTCCATGGCTTCGAAGGCAAGGCTGCAAACCCCATCGCTCTGCAGATAAGAACATGGAGCCTGGTGGTTATCGGTGCTTTGATTGCCCTAGCCCTTGAGCTGAGGGCTGAGCAGTCCTGCTGGTAACTGTTACGCAGAGAGGTAACTCTAAATGTGAGGATTTCTGGGCCATGGGGAGGATGATGCCTCCTAACTCAGCTTTCCCCCAACCTCCTTCCCATGCAAGGATACTCACCTCCAAGATGTAGCTGCTGGCAGGCACAGGGAAGGAATAGCCGTTGAGGTTGAAGACAACGTCGGGCAGGCTGCTGATGCTGCTGCAGCTGATCTGTGGGGAAAGAGGAGCAGGCAGGGATCAGTGGCTGTGCAGGCAAGCCAGAAACTGCCACAAAGTCCCTGGGAGAAATGCGAACCAGAGAACCATGTTGTTGCCCCAGGTGTTTAACTGCATTTCTGCTCTGGAGAAGGGCTTTCAGCCCCAAGCAGCAGCTGAGGGCCCAGTGTCCGGACTGGATCTGGCCTTTAGAGGGAGACAGAGACCCTGACTTTGCTGGGGCAGCTCTGCCTGTGGCACGAACCTTTTCGAGGACATAATTGAGCTGGGCCTTCAGCACGAGCCTTGCTGGACATGAAGTTTCCCCAAAGCCCTGTCCGCTTCCCTGCTCCCCTGGGGTCTCACCTCGCCGTTGGAGTCAGCACCAAGGGCATCCTGGATGTTGGCGACGGCAGTGCTGGGAGCAGCCAACAGTGAGGTGCCAGTGTCGATGATGGCCTGGCAGCTGGACGCGCAGGCAATGGTCTCCCCGCTCATGGTGACGCTGGAGCAGAGATACCAGAGTGAGCATCTCAGTGCCGTGAGCCACCAAGGAGCAAAAGGCTCTGCTCTCTACTTGACCATGGCTCAGGGCCATTGGAGCATGATGGGCTCTGTGGGCTGTGAGTCCCCATTGCCTTCATGCCTGCCTGTCCCTTTCCAAGCCCTGCTGCAGGGAGTTTACCCATCCATGGTGATTTGCCAGTAGGTTTCAGCAGAGAGAGGGATCCATGTGATGCCTCCAGTGGTGTAAGAGGAGTCAACGCCACCAAACATGACAAAGCTGCCGCTCTCGTCATCGCTGTGGAAGGGGAGAAGAGTCAGGCACCCGGACGGAGCAATTCTTACAAAGGGCTGTAGCAAATGTACTGCGTGAAGCTGTGACCAGGCACAGTGTTATGCCACGTTGTGGAGAGCAAGGCACAAGAGTGCTTTGTGCAAGGCCTGGGCTTGCACACAACTGGGGCCCATTTAGTGTGAGAGGACTATGAAAACCTCTGCAAGACCCTTTTGGCCCTTTCTTACTTGCTCAGGTAGACTGAGAAGAGGTCCTCGCTCACTAGGTCTTGGCTCATCATGTTGTCAAAGACAGGGGTGGCTCCAGAGGAAGAGATGCTGGGGAAGGCCAGACCCAGGATGCCATCGAAGGGGGTGTAATAGAAGAAATCGCCAGGCTCTGTCTCACTCAACCCAAAGATCTGGTTGCTAACTGTGATGCTCCCAACCTGGTCAGAGAGACGGGGAGAAGGTGACGTGCCTCAGTTTGCATTGGAAATGCCTGATATCCACCATGTTGCAGGGCAAGGGGCTGAAGTATCTCTATCTTACTTCAACAGTATCATAGCCCAGGATTCCGGTCATGCTGCCGGTGCCATACTGGATGGAGACAGTGTCGTCGGTGGCCACAAAGGTGGAGGAGTCTTCTGGGTTGAAGCGGTCGTGGTTGGCTGTGGACAGAGGATAGAGATAGTCACAACCTGGCTGCATCGTGGCCATGGGAGGCCAAGGATAAGGAGACGGTGCTGCAAGGCACTGCAGGGAATGCTCCTCTGTGCTACGAGGCTGAGCTGGGGCAGCCGAGCGGTGGGGAAGGGGTCTCTCCACAGGCTGCAGCCCCTGCCAAACACGTACTGCAGGCCTCGCTGTAGCAGTACACCGAGGGCACCCACAGGTTGGAGGAGCCGGTGTCGAACAGGACAGTGAACTCCTGGGCCGGGGTGCCAATGGAGATGGTGCCATAGTACTCCATCTGCCAAAGGAGGATGGATAAGGACTTAGTGAGCAGGCGAGCTGCCCAGCCTGCGCCAGCCCCCAGGCTGCCACCTTTGTGCTGTACTCACATCCATGTAGTTTGTCAGAGGCTCAGAGGAGACCGTGCTAGCCAGCGAGGGGAAGTACTTGCTGGCCGGGTTGTAAGGGTTGAGCTTCAGGTAGTGTTCCAGCAAGCCATGTTCCTTCAGGGCCTTCCGCAGGGACTTGCCTTTCCTCAGAGTGACCCTGCATGGTGAGGAGAGAGGAGCCGTTCAGTAAAGAAGAGCCACTACCAGCCCTGGGCTGCACAGTCCTTCCCTGCCAGGGAAGGGATGGTTCCCCCAGGGCTGTGCGTCCTCTTTGCCCCAGCTGAGCTGTGCAGTCCTCTTATGTGAGTCCTGGGGTGTCTCTTGCAGCAGTCCCCGAAATGCCTGGTGTGGGATCCATGGGACCACCCCACACTTGGGGAGCCAGGGACATTGTCCTGGCTCAGAAGACCCCCAGGAGATGAGAGAGTCCAAACGTTGGGGTGCCCCCATCGCAGCATGAGCGTGCTCTTGCAAGCCACTCCAGATACTCACTTGGACACAAGGCATTGGGAGAGAGCCACCAAGCTGAGAAGGAGGAGCAGCTTCATCATGTCTCCTTACGCTCAACTGCCAGAGCAAGGAGATAGAGATGCTGAATGTGGAGCAATACCCGTGTCCCACTCCTTATATATGCAGTGCACGAAGCCGCTCTTGTTTGGTCAGTATCCCCGATAGGGAAAGCAAACTGCTCCCGTGGGAGTTATCGCAATGTCCTTAAAGGAGATGTGAAGGAATATCGAGATAACAGATTTCCATCTTGCCTGCCTTTGCATTAGGGAAATGCCGCAGCAAGGGGTTGCTATTGACAGCTTCAGCTTGGAAAAGCAATGTCTTCAAGTTGTGATGGGAAAGGGCTTGTGGGAGCAGGGTGGGATACAGAGACTTTTTGGTGGGCTCGTGCATGTGACTGTCTTTGCACGCTTGTAATGCACAGGAGCTGCCCGTGTGGGCAAGGACCCCTCTGCGAAGCACTACCAACAATCCCTTCTCTTAGACTTGATGATCTTGAAGGTCCCCTCCAACCATAATGTTTCCATGATTCTCCGGAGAGCTTGGGAGCGTTGTCCGCTGCCCAGGGGAGCAGCACCTGGGGAGTGGGGCTGGGCACTTGCCCGTGTTGATGCTGCTAAATGCGGAAGGGAGGTTGGGGGTTCATGGTGACGGGGGACAGGCGGGGAGGCAGCCTGCAGGGGCATTTGCTGAGGGTGGGCAGCTGGGCCGCATCCACCCAACGTGCCTTGGGCCAAGAGGGGCAGCAGGATTTGGAGGCATGGAGAGAGAAAGGAGCTGTCACTTGTTTCCTAGGGGAAGTCAGTGACTGTGACCTTTGGGTTGAGCCCTTCAGGCCTGTGTGGATAGAAGACCTCTGTGTGCTGCCTCTGGCGTTATGCAAGTCACCGGCACACAAGGAAAAGCAGAGCAAATCACACGCGATTAGATAAGAGTATTTATTTCACAATAGGCTTTTCCAGGGTTAACCACCCCCACTGCAGGGGGTGACATTTGCTACGGCCCTGGCACTGCTGCTCTCTGAGGTCAGAAAAAAGGCAGGCGTGTGGATCATCCTCGTCACGCTGCAAAATGCCAAGCATCTGTTTGCGGAAGTTTATCACCACGGCACCTGCAGAGAAATGAGGGGCTGGCACAGAAATGCTCAGTTCTTCATGTCCTGATACTTCACGGCCCTTTGCCATTAGATTTGACTATCACCAATATTTGCTCCTGTGTCGGGCACAAAGACGGTGCAGAGAGTGGAAGAATTCCAGGTGGGATGCGAGGAGTACAGCACAGCTGCCCTGTTCTCCCTGCTGCCCCAGGCAGGAAGGCCCCTTTGGATTCATCTTTCAGCTTCTTTTAGAGGACTCTATTTAGGGAGATGCTAGGATCTGTCCATGTACTGAAACACACTGAGGAGAGGGAAGGCCAGGCATTACTTCCACCCTACACACAGCACTGCCAGGCACCAGTTGGGTGGCCCTGATTCTCAAGGACAACTAAAGGACAGGGGACAGATTTCAGGCCTGGGGACCTCCTTAGCCTTATGTGCCATGAGGGAGGTGTGGGGGTGGCTAGAGGGAGAACCCCACAATGAGACAAGTTAATGGCGACAAGCACCAAGCTGGACCCTTCCCCCTGCGCAGGGAAGTTGATGATGAAGGGGATCCAAGGACATCTTGTCCTTCTACAGCCTCTATTGCTGGAGGGATGGGACAGGCTGGCAAGGGTGGGAGTGGAGGATTTTCTCTCCAAGAGAGAGCCCTTGAAGCAGCTCTGTTCCACCTCCAGAGTCACCTCCAAGCCTCTCCTGGGCTGGATGGAGGGTGGCATCTGCAGCTGAGAGTGGGATCCTTGTCCTGTGGAGAAAGTCTTCAACACAGAAAGTCTGTGGAGACAGTCAGATTTGTGTTACAAACCATGTCTTCACTGATCAGCAATAAGTATCAGGGGAGCACCCCAAAATTTCCTGTCTGGAGTTATGCAAAGCGTAATTAAGAGCATCTATAAGAAGAAAACATTGTTGCAACGCTATAGGAGGCTGACGACTATCAGCCGGTCAAGGTATCTTCAGTGCCAGGCTAAACACTCCTGCATTCTCTCTTCAAAGTTGCTGACAGGTTTTGCATTTCAGCCTCTATGTTATCTCCAGACCCTTTGGTGAGCTGTTTTTGTAGAGAAAACATGCCCCAGGCTGATGTCTCATTTTTCTAACAACTAGAAGAGTATTAGCTGTGCTCAGTGCCTGAGTTTAAGCTTGTTTTCCATCTCACCAGTGAAGCCAAGACATATTTTCACATTCATCTTCAGTTAAAGGATATTCCCAGGTTAAGAGTGTTTATTTTTTCCTCTTCAAAGAGATGCTCCTTCTTTTATTTTGCCTTGGTATCATGAAGGTCAGAGTTTTCAAGCCCTGTAACCCAACTCTCTGCATACGCAGCTACTCTCTGTGAACTAGCCCCATTCACGAAGCCAGCATATGCTTTACCTACGGGATTCAAAGGAAGAGCTGTGACCTTCCCTAGATCCTCTACTCTGCTATGGGAAGACCTTCTGGGTGAAGAGTTTCCGTATCATTATGCTGAAACAAAAGCAAGGCTGGGTTCCTGATTTGAGCGTTAATAAAACTGACTCCTCTACAGCAGGATCCTGACTGCCAGGACCTCAGTGATGTGTTTTACTTGGCCATTGGAGCTCACAGTGAACGCTGCAGGACCAAATTCAGCATTAGGCACCTTCCTTCTCCTTTGTTGCTGGCCCCTTGGCCAAGATATCGGCTCCTACTCTGCCTAAGGCTGGACTTTTGAAGTGAGACTCCAGCTGCCAGCAACATGACGGTATTAAAGAACTGCTGCTTTTAGGAGAAACCGGGGCTGCTTTTGTGAGCTGCACTCCTTTGAAAGATGCTGTCCCTGGGCATGGTCATGCTGTGATGATGGGTACCCTGAGCTGCCACGGGACACCCACACACGGATGACTGAGCCAAGCACCCAGCTTTGACACGCATCAGAGTTGTTGGTGACCATAATACAGCAACAAGCCCATGGGTTTATGCCAGGACTGACCACCTAACTCCATGAACACAGGCTTCCCAGTCATGAGTCAAATTTTCTTAATTTTGCACGAATATTCAATGGGCAAACACAGCCACTGTCTCCCCTGCTTTATCTATTACAAATACCTGTTTTATTTCACCAGAAAACAAACATGTTCCGGGACACTTACTCCTCAAGGTTTCTAACCCTGTTCTCTATTAGCAGGCTGGATGCTCAACGGACAGGTTATGGTGCCTTACCTTGATATCCCCTGTGACCACATCTCTGCCAAGTTGCTGTCTGTCCACAAATAGGGATTATGGTTAATGTATGGACTGGAGTTGGCTCTCTTCCCTCAAGTACTGGTTTCAGTCTAGCTCTAAATAATGAGAATTGAAGCTAAATGATAAATTGCATTGGGGCGAATGAAGTGAATAAGAACCTGGTAGGCTCTGACAGGATAGAATAAAGAGGACAAAAAAAAAAAAACCCTCCTCCTCCCTGGCAAAAGGGGAAGTTACACAAAGTCTTCATTGTAACTCCTGGGTCTGGAAAGGAGAAGATCTTGGCTGACCTGCAAAATAGAAGGTGACAGATTGGACCTGGCAACGACTGATAGCTTCAAAACCCAGTATGGAGCCTGTGCGTCATGTCCCTTGGTGGCCTTGCACAGCCAAGCCACGTGCCTATGTCCTACACTTACTCATAAATCACAGAGAAAATCTCTGATTAGACAACAACATTTACTTTCCATTTCTATTACACTCCTGGCCCTATGTAAGTAAGACAACACATCTTGATGAATATGAGCTGTGATAGGGAACGGCCCTAACAAAGGATCAGTTTTGGAGCAAACATGTCCTTGCTACATTAAAATGTTTATTCACAGAAGTTTATCAGATCGGAGCCTAGGTAGACATGCAGCTGGGCTGATAAACTACCTTAGCCATGTGCCCTGACCCTCTTCAGGTGGGGGCATTTACATTTACATAGGAGAAATTATATTTCCTTTCCCCAACATGCTGGATGTTGTCCACACACAGAGGAAGGGACTCCTTCTGCTGTGCAAAGGCTCTTCCACTGCAATGGATAAAATAAGCAAAGAGGGTTTTTATTACTGAGGGAAGCACCAACAAATGGAGCTGTAGGAGGTCCTTCACAAAGTCTCCTCAAATCTAGGTGCTGGTGAGAGGAAAGGGTTATGATATGTGCAGAGAGGAGTCTGTTTGGTGCTCCTTGTATTGCTACCAAAGCAGCTCTGATGAGCGTATAAGCTTTCTGCTGAGCACTCTCAGGATAAGATCTGTACAGCTGTCTATGTTCAGGCTTTTTCAGCTCTTCCTCTCTATAAGGACTGACATCCAGGTACTCCACCGCAGAGGCAATTCAGAAGTTGCTGCCTATTAGGCTTGGCAAAGAAGTATTTCTTGTGAAGAGCACTTTAGGAGGTCCAAAAGACCTTGAGTGGGATGCAGTTTGTCTGCTCTTAGCGGTGGAGGGGGTAGCTGTAGCTCTCTGGTGCCTGTAACCATGGGCAAGTATTAGTTCCCACTTCAAGGAGTTTAACATTGCGTTGGGAATGAAGGTCCTGTTGGCCCTGGAAGACGGCTCCAAAACCTTCTGTGAGATGCAAAGCACATGTACTGCAGTCATGCAGCAGAGCACAGGAGGCAAACGGTGAGTGTGGCCTAGGAGTGACGGGGCTGAGGAACTGGTATGCTCTGTGGCAGTGATTGGGTGCAAGGCAGCATATGTCCACTGCAATTTCTGGAGGTAGAAAGTGAAGGAGATTCTGACTGTGCTCCTGGAAAGGCCCTGCAGTCAAATTCATGTTCCAACAGCCCAGATGCTTGGGGTTCATGAAAGGTTTTGGCTTGCCCATCATCATTTCCTTGCTGAAGACTCATGCTTGTCCAAAAACAAGTAAATCCAGAGTTCCCGAGGAGCAGTATCTGTATCTGGAATAACAGGGGAAGCCCTAAGATTGCATAACAGTTATTCAGCCTTCCTCTTGTGTATTCTAGGCTCGACAGGGATATGCAGCTGTGAGGTGAAGGACGCAAAGGACTTCTTATGAGGTAGGGAATGGAGCAGGTAGGCTTGTCCTTGCCTCATTGCATATGAAAGTATTTCTGTTCCTGCTGGCTTATCTCACAGCTGTATAGAGCTTTGGAATTGGTCTAGAGGAAGGTTAGATGTCTCGATAACCTCCAGGTGTTTGTGGTGAAACACACATTTTGGAAGAGTTTATTTTCCATTTCCTCTTCCAGGCTTTTCAAAAAGTGGTGGGGGAGTAGCAAACAGATCAGATATAAGGAGGAAGGTTTGAATAACTTGGCACCAGCAAATCCTTCAGTCTTCAGCCACAGCTCCTTTGTCCTGGTGCCCAGTTCAGCGGCACATCTGTCCTGGGTTTTGATATGTGGCACTTAAGTAAGAGGAGGGCACAGTCCTGCCATTAGTCTCATATTGGGATCTGTGCGTTTGAGGAATATGAAGCATCCAGGGATCCTACAGCGCAGAGGCTGAACAAGGGACCTGTGCTTGGCAGGTTCAGGAAGAGAAAATGCTGATGTTTGTATCTATTTTCATCCTTTTATTTATTTATTTATTTTTCACTTAGTCAGTATCTGTGGAAAAAAAAAAGTGCTTGGAATCACTGGGACTAATATGCAAAACCTTCCAGTTTTCAGACCCAGTGGGGGCAATTTGGTTCCATGTAAAATCAATGGGTACGACGTAAGCCTCCACTCCGGATCCTCCAAGAGCAGGGCTTCACATTTCAAATCAACGAGAAGAGGCACAAACAGTGCCTCTACCTCAGTAAAAAGACCGGATATCAAATTGGTTGAGAGAACGACTTTAATATCCTTTCCTGGTTAGGGTTGTCCCCTTTGGGTCAGAGAACTAGCAGGCTAAGCAGAGATGAAAGGTGGACTTCTCTTAGATATCTCTCAGAAGCTCTGAATTCATGAAAACAGTATTTTTTTCTCTCTCTCTTTTTTTTTTTTTTTTAAGTTTCCCACATTTCTTTGCTCTATCTATCAAGGCTGCAGGTCTTCAATAAGTATAAGTGTGCAAACAGATGTACAAAATACCTTAAACTGTTGACTTAAAATATGACTACTGTCACTGCCAGGACGCTGGGAAGGGAAGTGTCACCTGTGACTTTGTTTTAGGTTTCAGCGAAGCAACAATTAAATAAACTTTTCTCAGACAGATAGGGTTTTTGTTTCATTTCTTTCCCTCGGTTTTCTGCACATTAGTAAACATGTCATGATCCGTGTTGTCAGCTGAGGCAATGGCCCTTGTAAAGACTATGACAACCAAACAGGCATCATTGCTCTCCGAGTACCAAGTGGCATATTCTTGGAAAGGTAGTAATCCTTTAAATATCAGATATTTTGAAGTTGAACATAGATTTCTGTCATGCTTTTGCAAGTCTCTCTGGCTTCTGGTAATTAAAGCAGTTTGCAACTGCTCCTTGTTCTATTGACGGCTACTGAAATCACAGTAAAAATTATTGCTTACTAGAACTAACAATATGCACACGGTCAGCTCTGCAGTCTGTCCTGGTTCACGCTTTATTTTTATGACGCAGATTCCTGGAAGTTCTGCCTGCTGTTCCACATTTCTGTGAGATGCTTCGGGCAGTGTCTCCATCTCTCTCTCAGCATGGGACCCAGTTTAATAATAATTCAAACACTGCCACTAAAAAGAAAGAAAAAAAGGGGGCCATTTTTGGGAGAGAGATTTGTTCAGATGTTTGTTTTGCAAAACATGTCTGCTCCGGCCCATATGATGTAATGGTGAGATACACCCAAATGTTTTTCTGCACTGAAGGCCGTCTTGTATTTCAAGTGCTAAATTCCTCTTTCTCAGCCAGAAGTTAATGAATTGTGCTTCACTGATCAGCTTGAACTTGCCATCACCTGACAGTTTCATCTGGTCTCCTCTGGTTTTGGTGGGAAGCCAATCTTGCAGAGTCCCTTTTTCTGAAAAGGAATCAAAAGATTTTTAGCCTAATTTTCTATAAAGGTAATTTTTGAAGACTAAGGAGTGATCTGCATTTCTCCTCTGCTTTTTGCAATATTTGCATTCTGCATTTTGAATGAAAGGGTATCGAGTTTATCTTTTCACTGCCTTTTTTTCTCATGGACATGAAAAGTTACCTTTTCGGTTCTTGTAAACTGGAACTCAGTCTTAAGCTTTAAGTAAATAGGTCTTCAAAGATTTTTTAATCTCATTCAGAAATAAAATTGCTCAGGAAAGCATTCATCTGAAAAGAGCATCAGGAGACTAAACCTTACTTATACAACAGCCTTGTTTCCACTCGTTAAGTGCAGGGTGATCGCTTTCAACAAATGCAGAAAGCCTCAGGCTCCAGATGTGCCTTTTAGCAAAATGAATACATTCAGTAACGAAACCCCTTCACAGTGATCAGAATTGCTTCTGTCAAAGGTCCACGGCACACAGCAAAACAACAACAACAACAACAACAACAACAACAACAAAAACTTAACATTTTGGACTGTAGGCATGTTTTTTTCCTGGCCTGTAGGTAGCAACGTTTCCCGAGTGCTGGAGAACTTTCCTTATGGCAGGAATTTTGTTTCCTAAACAACTTTTCACAGGCCGAGAGCAGCTCTAGAGCATTGCACAGGTGCTGGTCACTAAAAGTCTGTTGTAACAACAGTTGAAAGCCTAGTCCTTTTTTTTTTCCTTATTTTTCTGTGCCATAAAGTTATGTCCTGTGTTTATATGCTGATAATATATGGCCTCTGGGTGTTTGTATGCTGATAGGGCCTCCAGGTAAAATCCTCTTGTCTGAACACTCGACTTTTATCCCAAATTCAGCCTTGCCCTTTACTATACAGTGAATTAAAGACTTGAAGCAATTTTGAAAGCTTTCTTTTATTCATATTGCAGACCAATTATTGCATAAAATTGTTGCTGAAACAGAATTACACATGCAAAGTCATAAAGCCACTGAGAATCATAATTCTCGCCCCTCCTTTTTTTTTTCCAGGAATAAACCACTTGTCAAAATAAAGGAAGTTTTTGAATTAGCTCATTCTATTGTAATAGACAACAATCCCAGTAGCCAATGAAAGATTTTTTTCTGTTCAGGAAGTCATTGATTTTTGAGATATCATTGCACAAAGAATGAAGGAGCAAATGAATTAAATGTGAGAAAACTCTCAGAACAAATGTCAAGCAGCAGTAAGAAAGCTAAGATAGAGGAGAAATAAGGTAAGATTAAAAAGAATCAGCCTCAGAGTGCAAAATGACTTTCAAATACAAGATGCTTTTTCTTAGATTAAACCTACAGAGTAACTCAGGAGATTTTTCCTTGATTGATATAGGAAGGTTTCATGCTGCATGGGCCAGGCCCACTTGGTTGTTGGCTCTGTCAAAAACACTGTAGTATTGGCAGAGGAAGATTTCACCGAGGATCCAAAGATCTCCAGACGAGGCAGGGATGAAAGTGCCTTCCAAACCACTCCTGCAATAGCCTTGGCGCATCTGCAGATTCTTAGTGTGAATATTGAGCTTAAATCCCAGTGATTTACCTGAGCTACGTTGTTCTGGAAGCACTGCATTACTTTTCACGTGCATTAAAATCTTTAATACCTATCTTTATGAAGCATGAAAATGGACCAGGGCTTAGACACCTTGAAACACACATGTCCACTAGTTTACCAAGTCGCCAGTCACCTGCTCAGGGTACTCTGTGTTGGCTAGACAAAAGTTGGAGGACTCAATTGGCACAACCCTTCGAGCTGGTGGGCTAATTCCTATGGATTTTGCTGTTAGTCTGGCTGCAGATCTACTCTTTGCCTTTCCTCAGCTGCAAGGTGCTCGTGGCTCATGCTAAAGGCTAGTTACCTCTAGAGTTAAGGGTTCTTTTCATCCGAAGAACTTGCTTTTGGCTTTTATCCCCCAGTACATGTACATTGCTTAACCTAACCTCTAAACACGCTGAATTTCCCTGTTTCACTGAATTTCCCTTTCCTGGTGACAGCCACTGAAGTGTCTACCTCTTTCCCCAGTCCTTTTCAATTAGGCTTCCCTCAGTTTGGCTATTGCTTTTGGAGTTCCTTGTGGAACCTCCTTAGGTCCCTTGAGTCTAAAGGCAGTTTGACCATCTAGCACTTTTGTCCTTCCAGCTTTGTGCCATGAGATGGCAGAGGGAAGTAAGCTGTGCAGTGTGGTGGCCTCTGGTGCTAGTCCTCCAAAACAGCACCCAAGGTCGCTTTCTGGGCAGGCACTCACCTGTAGAATGTAAGCCTTGGCAGATACAGGGAACTTGATGCCATTAATGACAAAGACAATGTCAGGCAAGTTATTCTTGGTCCTGCAGTTGACCACATACTGAAAGGGAAAAGGGAATAACCAGGGGGTAAAAATAGGCACACTTCAAACAACTTTTCCAGAGGGTATCATGGGAACAAAGGCAAATTACATATATTACGTAAGGTGGCCAATCATTTTTATACAGTGAGATATTTTCAGGAAACGAATGTGGTAGCTTCAGATCTGAAAGCAGCTTTTGAGACCTGAAACACGAGGGGAACTGTGGAATTACCCTGTTGACCTGCACGCAAGATAACTGCAATCTGTGGTTATGTAGCAATAGGAGTCAAGAAGTGCCGTGGGGATCTGCTCTGTCTGGAGTGAGATCTGTGCAGTGCACAACCCTACCCACCCCTCTCACCTCGCCATTGGAGTCCTCGCTGACACCAATGTGGTCATGGATGGCAATGATGGAACCAAGGGGCCCGGCGAGCAGGGAGGTCCCGGTATCAATCACAGCTTGGCAGCCCCTCGGGCACGCAATGACCTGGCCCTTCACGGTAATGCTAGAAAATGAAGTCGCAGAACACTTTGGTCTCATTAGATCTCACGAAATCCCAGCGGGCATCTCACTGCTGTTCAGATGGGGGAATTTCCCCTGGCAGCCAGGAATTTATCTGTTGTTCCTCAAACCCACTGTAAATGTGCCCAGATGAGGTGTTAACTTCCAGCTGGTGCAGATATTTGTACACAGGGGTTGCTCTGCGGCGGTGAGCACATCACTGCGAGCTCCTCTTGTGGAAAAGTTGTGAACTGCTGTCCCAATAGCTCATCTCATAAGCCTTCTGCCCACGTTTTGTGCAAGGTGTTTGCAGGGCTTCTTGCCTGTCTATATTGTGCATTTTTAAGTTGAATTTCCTTTGTTTGCCCTAGATAGATATCCTGCCTCTCTGCACCAAAAGCTCCAAGTTGTACAGGGAAGAGCAGAACTTACCTGTCTATAGAGATTTGCCAGTAAGTTTTAGAAGATAGAGGGATCCAGTGGAGTTTCCCAAAGAAGCAGGAATAATCAATGCCTCCAAATGTCACAAAGCTCTTCCTTTTCTCACTGCAGAAGATGGAGAGGACAGAAGAAAGATTTTGAGCGGTTGGTTTAAGCATTTACCACAATTACATAAAACACTGGAAAAAGACTACAAGTGGGGAACTCCAGGGTAGCTCAGAGCTATATCTTTTTCTCCCAGTGGTCCTAAGATTGTTGTTATCTATTTCAAGAAACAGAATCAATGGTGGAACTCTGTGCTGCTGTGAGCTGAAATCAGTTTACGTTATCCATGATGCTTAAACTCTATAAGTAACCTGATTCTCCCATGCAAATATTCCAAGCGTGGTTCTTATGCCATTGGACACTACGCTCCCCAAAAATGTGTGGTTTGTGACTGTGCTTAAACACCTCTCATTCTTCACCCAAGGGTTGCCCGGAGTTTGGGAATTCTGACGGACACCTCCCTGGGAACAACGGCTAAGAGATGGGGTTTATGAGTATGTGTCTTGTTACGGGCCAAGGGGATCTTCCAGCCTCAACTTACAGGCTGAGGCAGAAAGAGAAGAGGGCCACAGATACCAAGCGGTGGTTCATGATGTTGTCAAAGACAGGGGTGGCCGTTGGCGCAGCGATGCTGGGGAAGGCCAGGCCCAGGATACCGTCGAAAGGAGCATAGTAGAAAAAGGAACCAGGCTCGCTCTCGCTCAGGCCAATGGTCTGGTTGTGCACTTGGATGCTTCCAACCTTAGGAGAGAAATGGAGGAAATGAAACATGCTGCATTCTGGGAAAAAAAAAAAAAAAAGGATCCTATCCTACTAAAGGGTGTGGGAAATCCTCCTGAGTATTTCGGAAGTGTGCAACGTTCTCTGCGCCCCACCTGAGCTCCAGGCTGAGCTGGGAAGAGCACAAAGTACCAAGCTCAGTGATATCCCACCTTTGCAAGGAATGCGGCTGAGGAGAGGGCAGGGGGACAGACCCTGCCTAGAGCAAGTGGCCAGGGGACCTGCTGTCCTAGGGGACCTGCTTGCCACAGGGCTACGCTCGAGTGCAGATGAAGGTTGGTGACTCTTTTAGTTCTGCTCGGCAGCAGAGGGCACCAAACAACACAGAGAATCACCATGTGTGCTCCAAAAGCAGATTAAAGTTAACTGAAGGGGTGTGTTGGGACATGTCAGGGTCAGGTTAGCCTGTTACTGATGGGGTATGCTCAATGTTGAACAAAATCTCTAGATGCTTTATGCTTATGTTCGACATTCGCTCCAGGGAAATAAAAGGTTTTAATGTCTGTTGTTTTAATGTCAGCTGAATAATGCTTGATTTGACTCCCTCCACACAAAAGGGGGTATTGGCAGGTGGCATACGTAAAGTTTCTATATCTACATAGCAACCCTGATAAGAAATGCAGGCTTTTCCATCAAACATCCTATAGGAAATAACTATGATGATTACAGCTGCAGAAGAAGCAGGCTTTGTTGATTCCTCTATCAATGGGAAAACATCTCCCAGATCTGAGTTGCCTTTGCACCCCCTCCTACCTTCCACTTTCCCCTCCGGGTAGCAGGACCTCATCATTTGACTCACATGCACGGTTTCATTGGCCAGGAATCCAGCCATGCTGCCAGTGCCATAGTAGATAGAGACAGGCTGGTTGATGGCTCTGTAGGTGGAAGACTGCTGCGGATTGAAGCGCGTGTGGATGACTACAATTGCAGAAGAGTTGGATGGTCAGAACCTGGACACTCCATGGAGACAAAGGTCAAGGCTCAGGCATTGCTGCAGCTGGCACGACCGGTGCATTTATGGAATATTTTATGCTTTGCTACTGCCCCAGACTGGCAGCAATTCACATGTTAACACACAGTGTCTCTATGTGTGTCTACAGCTGAGATGAACTGGAGGTATCTCATTTAGGAGAGTTCTTGTAGCTCACTAGGTGATGAACACAGGGAGACAGAGACCTCCAAAAGCTGATTTGAATCTAAGGTGACCTGCATTCCTCTCTGTGGGCAATGCACACTGCACACTAGTGCCAGAGGGAAGGAGCTCTGCTCCCTCTGCAACATGGAACTGAGAGGCCGTTTCCATCCCAGGACCCAGTGCTGTATGTGGTGGCCACGCAAAACGGGTCATCTGGCAGCATTTGGGCAAAGCCATGCCTCAGGCTGTTCCCAAAATAGAAACAGCTGGCCTGGCATCCCTTCTCCTTTCCCTGCACTGCCATCTAGGCCCTGTCTCAGGGTGGCTGATCTCCCAAAAAAGAAGCATCTCCTGTGACCTGCACCCCTGCTGTCCACGGTGGTAACGCACCACCGCCAACTGTGTCTCCCCAGCTGGAGGTTTCTGTGCTTGATCCCTTCTTTGCTCTTAGCAATGGTGTGGGCAGACTGTCACTTACCGCAGGCCTCGCTGCTGCAGTTCACCGAGGGCACCCACAGGTAGGAGGAGCCGGTGTCAAAGAGCACAAGGAACTTCTGGGGTGGGGATCCAATGGAGATGGAGCCGAAAAACTCGATCTGTCAACGGGAAACGGGAAGGTTTCCAAGGGAGCAGCCACGCAGAGGAAAATGGAAAGCCCCCCGTGGAGGAGCTTCTCCCGTTGTGTCAGATGCACACCTGGAGTTTGGGTTCTGCACACGGGGACAAGCAGCAAGCGGATATGTTTTTGGGAGAAGTGGATTGTAGCCTCTCCAGAGCAGCAGGAGAGAGACGTAAGCAAAAGATGGGCCGGGTTGGAGAATGGAGAGAACTGTGTTGTTTCATAATACAGTTGTTTCACAGTCAGTTGTCCGGGAGGAAAAATCCAGGATAAAAACTGAGACAATAAGTTTTAGTTTAAGGAGAAAAAAAAAAATAAAGCATATTTTCCTTGTTTTCAGGGATTGCTGTAAGGACTCCTAATTTTTTTCTCTGAAATAGGCAGAGAAGTACCTTTCCTTCACACTTACATCCAGGTAGTTTTCCAGGGGGTCGGTGATAACCTTGACAGGAGATTTGAAGTACTTGGAGCCCACATTTGAAGGGAATTTTCTGGGGAATTTCTCCAGCAACCCCACTTCCTGAAGTCTGCTCCTCAGGGACTTTGCTCTCTTCAGCGGAATCCTAAGCAAGAAGAAGTGAGACAAATTCAGAGCAGATGAGTAAGAGGCTAGTCCTGGGTTCAGCTACGTCCACATACATCCCCCATTGATATCGCTGTAAGGTCTTTTACCGTAAACCTTATCAGATACACAGATTTAGGTGCTCCAATTCTGCTTGGAAATGGGTGGATTCCCATATAATCCCTTTTAGCATTTTGAAATTCGGTCTCAAAATGTGGCTATTAGAGTACCTAGCACAGCCAAAGACATTCAAAGACTTCAAAGACATCCAAAGACTTTTTGCTGTGCAGAGTCCCGTCCGCTGTGAAGGATGGGACAGCGCGAGCCAGGGCAGTGTCCTGGCCACGCTCACAGGAGGGCCAGTGTCACTATAAAAGGTGTATTATGCCCCTACAAAAGCTAATTACGCAAAATGAACTCATTTGGGACATGAGTCACTGGTCTATTTTAGAGAGGTATTTAAGAATATTTGTGCCTCTGTGTTTGTGGGAAAAGCAGGGCCTGCAAGTCTGACCTAAGTATTAATCCAGCACCTGAGCTGCTAGACCCTTTCCCGGGTGTTTGTACTGCTGTGGAAAAAAAAATAGCAGGGAATTTCTTTTCCTGTCCTGCTATAATGTGGAACAGAGAGGAGAAACCCAAGTGCCACGAATAGTCATGGAGAAGCCCCCTCCCTGGCGCCACAAGGCAGCTCTTCCACCTCATGCGCTCCCCAAAACTCACCTGCCCAGGCTCTGCGTGAGCACCACCAGGCTCAGGAGCAGGGGCAGCTTCATGATGTGTCTTTACGCCTGAGGAAAGGAAGAAAAGGAACGGGGCCTACGGAGCAACGCCTTAATGCAGCTGGCCACACATACGTAAAGTTTCTATATATACATAGCAACCCTGATAAGGAACGTGGGCTTTTCCATCAAACATCCTAAAGGAAGTATTTGGGGAAAAAAAAGCCTTTTTTGCTTTTGCAGGACTAACACCTTTACAAGCGGGCATCTTCCAATGGAGAGAGTGTTGCGGGACAGGATTTGCTTAAAACAAAGTACTTTAAGTGATTTTAATTAACAGTGGAGAGGAGGAGAGGAAATAGAGCCACTGGTTATGGTTATACTTCTGCAGCACCCAAGAACACTCGACCCTGGCTCCCACTGTAGACACCGGGCAGCAAAGACACAGCCAAGGAACCTGCTCACTTGATGGGGCCACTACTGCTGAGAAAGTGGGGTAGAAAATATCCTGTTCTGCCAGACAAACAGCAAGGGACAGCGCTTAGACCCTGGGGATGAAGAGCAAACCCTGAGGGGCAGATGGGCCTGCAGTAAAAAAAAAAAGAAAGGGCTCAGGAGGCTATCTCCAAAGTTATGTAATACAGACTGATGGCCACTTGCCTAGGAATCTACACGAGATCTCTAAGAGATTAGACAACAACGTTTACTTTGCACTTAACTTCATCGTGTTTCCAGCCCTGTGGGATCACCAGGACTGCACAGGAATCTCCAGGCTTCCTGCACCGCGGGACTCTGATCAGTAAGATCAGGGAGAACCTCATCAAAGAGGTCTGGTGCTCTGGCCTGTTGTTTAGGAAAATACATCTGTTCCCAGAATTTCATGTGCTTAAGCTTAAAGGCTGAGTCTGGAAAAAAAAATCCCTTACTGAGATATACCAACACCTCATCGTAGTCACTACACATTTACGAAAGAAATTTATTTTCCAATCCCTGTTCCATGTCTTTTCGCTTTCATAAAAGGCAGACTTTTGGGTCGACAGTCCTGATTAAATATGCCCCAAAACTGAGAAGAGCTGCTGACCTTCAGAGATCTTCAGGTTGCATTATTGTTCTCATTCCACCTGTTTTGGGGGGCTTTTGTGTTGTTGTTTGTTTTTTTTCCCTGGCCTTGCTCAGCTGCCCATGTAAACCTTATGTTTGCAGGTGCTTGCTTGTTACCAGCACCTGGTTGCATTTTGCTTCCTCTCAAACGTCCCCAGTTGGGTTTTGTTTAGGTGTCTCTGCTCCTTGCGTGGGATTTCAGCCCCTTCAGCCTCACTCATGCCCACTCTTGCTTGCAGTCACAGGATCTGCCATTCTTGCCCCTTTCAGTCATTTTGGCTCAAGGTGATTACTGGATATTGGCCTTTCTGAGGCTTTCATGGGATGTATCATAATCATCAGTCAAATCTATAGGTCTCTTACATAAATGAATGGTGCTAACAAACAGAAAAATCAATGTATCCTTCCATGCGAACCAGAAAATACCATTTTTCCAATTTTGCTTTCAGTAACACTTAATCATTTGCATGGAATACCTCTCCATTTCCAGTCCATGCATCTTCCTTCACTGTGAGGAACAAATTTGCACGCCACTTTGTATATCCTTCTGCTCAATCCCTCGGTGTACATTGATAAGGAAATGTGCTTCAGCCTTCCACGTGCACAGAGCCCACTGCTCAAATAAGCTTTCAAAGCACCCACCTCTCTTTACGAAGCCAAGTCTGCTTCTTGCAACATTATTTCATGCTGGTTATCAGCAATGCCACCACCAAATCAATCTTTGATTAGACCACACGGTACCTGTCTGCGTCCGTGTGACTCATACTACACAATAGCCTGTGGTTCTCACGTGGTGCTTGTTTCTCCCGGGAAGAGAGGTGCCTTTCCTTGGAGACATGTGCCAGGACCCCATGACCTTGACCAGCACCTTGCAGGCTCCTTCCCATTCTCCAGAGCCTCCCTTGCCCGGCACCACGGAGGTCACCTATGGTTGGTGCTGTCCCAGCAAGCAGAAAACCGCAGAACAGAGGACCCCAACTCCGGATCACACCTTTGTTTCCCACTGCTGAAAAACGCCCCCATACTTCGTGCTAGGAAGACCTAAGAGAAGCATTCAAGAGAGAATTTATTTTTTGCTTCCAGCCATGCCACCCGAGGTAACGCTGTTGTAAGGTTTATTTGACACGTTGCAGGTGCTGCCCCAATGCTAGTATTTGAGGCCACAGCTAAATGGTCCAGATTTGCTATCACACCTCGGCTGCCTTGTTGCTTCTTCCGTAGCCCTTCCATGAGCCTTTTCCCTTCTCCCCGGTTCTGCTACACATTTGCTCCGTGTTACCTCTCTCTGCGCACCTTGGTTCCATCCCTCTACCTCGGAAGGAGGTTTGATTTTCATTTTAACTCCCCATAAAACCGGATTTTTTCAGGAATGCAGCAGCAACTGCAAGTTCCTTGGAGCGACAACCACTGCAACCGCCCAGGCCCCCAGCAGCCATTTGGTGTGAGATGACTTTGCAGAGAGTAACACAGCCCCCGAGGGGATCTCCTTGCACTTAGGGCCTCCCTTCGAGGCCGCAACCGGGAAAAGGAGGCAGGTCAAGGGGCTTTGTCACGGGGACGGCCGCTTGGAGCCCGTCAAAGCGACAGCTCAAAGCGCCCCTGCTGGACGCGGAGCAGCCGAGCGTCCCCCGCACAGCTC